ATGGAACGCCGGGGACATGAGCGAACTGGGCGTCCGCTTCGGCAAGGCACTGCAACTGACCAACGTGCTTCGAGATGTTCCCCGGGACCTGAGAAACGGGCGGTGCTACCTGCCGAATGAGGACCTGGACAGGGCAGGATTGGGCCCCCGATGCCTTCTGGAGCCAGACAACTCCCCAGAGGCGTTCCAGGTGCTGAGGCCATGGATTCAGACCGCCCTAGAGCACTTTGAGGCCGCTGAGGCCTACCTGCTGGCGGTGCCGCGTCGCTGCCTGCGCCTTCGCCTGGCCGCGCTATGGCCGATCCTGCTTGGGCTGGCGACGCTGGCAATCCTGGCCCGCAACGACAGGTGGCTCGACCCGGCCCGGCCGTCCCGGGTCAGGCGACGGTGGGTCTACTGGATGATGGCCCGGTCGGTGCTGGCCGCGCCGTCAGACGTGCTGCTGCGATTCTGGATCCGAAACCTTCGCGGCAAGGTCGAAAAAGCCCTGAATGGAAGTTGAGACCCGAAGAGGCACACCCTGGGAGGTTCTGGCCGTATTCCTGCGGCTGGGACTGACCTCCTTTGGCCGACCTGTCGCACACCTGGGATATTTCAGAGAAGAGATCGTTGTCCGAAGGAAGTGGCTGGGCGAGGCGGCATACGCCGACCTGGTCGCCCTATGCCAGTTTCTTCCGGGTCCGGCCAGCAGCCAGGTGGGGATTGCGCTGGGCATGCGGCGCGCCGGCCTGGCCGGTGGCCTCGCCGCGTGGCTGGGATTCACAACTCCGTCTGCTGTTGCGCTGATCCTGTTCGCCTACGGCGTGGCCATGTTTGGCGATGTAGGGGATGCGGGGTGGCTGAACGGACTCAAGACGGCGGCCGTGGCTGTTGTGGCACTGGCTGTGTGGGGGATGGCCCGAAGCCTGTGTCCGGACCGCCCAAGGGCGGCGATGGCCATCGCCGCAACCATAGGGGTGCTGGCATGGCCCACCGGGTGGGGGCAACTGGTGGTGATAGCCGCTGCCGGGCGATTGGATGCGCTTCCTGCGAGCCGATCAGGAAAGCGCGGAGACGGAGCAGCAGTTCCGCATAAATCGGACGGTTGCCGTAGCATGCCTGGCCCTGTTCGGTGTTCTCCTGGTGGGGCTGCCGCTGCTGCAGCGTGCGGCATTTGTTGGTGAATTCGCTGACCTCATCCAGGTCTTTGACAGCTTCTACCGGGCGGGCTCGCTGGTTTTCGGTGGCGGCCACGTGGTGCTGCCACTTCTACGGGAACTGGTAGTTGCTCCGGGATGGGTGAGCGACGCGGAGTTCGTGGCCGGGTATGGAGCAGCGCAGGCCGTTCCGGGGCCGCTGTTCACCTTTTCCGCATATCTTGGCCTCTTTGTTGGTATGCCGTCAGGGTGGGTTGGGGGGCCGTTCGCCTTGGTCGCCATATTCCTGCCCTCGTTCCTGCTGGTCATCGGCGTGACGCCCTTCTGGGACCGGCTGCGGACCTGGGCCAGCTTCAGCGGCGCGATGCGGGGGATTAACGCGGCGGTCGTCGGCTTGCTCCTGGCGGCGCTGTACGACCCGGTGTGGACCAGCGCGATTCACGGGCCCTATGACTTCGGCCTGTCGCTGGTGGCGTTGGGACTGCTGGCGATCTGGAAGTGGCCGCCCTGGCTGGTGGTGGTACTGGCGGCGCTGGCAGGACAGGGGCTGTCGGTGATCCCCTAGCCCGATTTTCCTTGACGCCCCAACGAATTCCTGTACGATACCGGCACTAGAGGCGGCAGATTTCAGGCCACAAGCGGCCAAATACCCAGGTGAGAGGAATGGCAAAATTCGTTCGCGTTTACACAGGGGACGACGGCAACTCGGTCATCGAAGAACGCGACTTTGAAATGCAGAGCTTCGTGGACACCGAGGGAGCCCACGGCCTCTCGACGGAATTGATAAAAACGCCGGGGATTTCGTTCAGGGTTTATGAGCCGGGGTATTTCCTGGACTTTCACACCGCGCCGCGGCGGCAGTACAGCATCACCCTGACGGGAGAGATCGAGGTGGGGACGCCGGACGGGACACCCCCCCCATCAAGCACTATGGCGCGGGAACTGTGCTGATGGCAGAGGATATGACAGGTACGGGACACTCGACTCGTGTGGTGGGCACCGAGCCGCGCTTCGCCATCATCATCCCGCTGACCGACTAGAACTCCTGCAATTGGGCGGAGCAAGTTCGGCTTTAGGAGTCCTGGCGTAAGAGATGCGTGTATCCGAACTCCAAAACTTGAAACTGGAAGGCGATTGTCATGAGCTCATACGCCAACCTGAACGGCGAGTTCAACCCGACCGTTCCCACTCGGGTCATTTTCGGGCAGGACAAGACCGCCACGCTGGGAGGAGAGGTCGCGGACCTGGGTGGCAAGCGGGTGCTCGTGCTTTCGGGAAGGACAGTGGCCGAGCAGACGGATGCAGTGCAGCGGACCAAGGACGCGCTGGGAGCATCGGCCGTGGGCGTCTACTCGGGGCTGACGCAAAGGGCGCCCCTGTCCTCGGCGGTCGAGGCGGCCAACCTGGCAGTGTCCCTGGAGGCAGACACCCTGGTGGGAGTGGGCGGAAGCACGATATCCGACGCCGCTCGCATGATAGCCGTGTTGATGGCTGAGGGGATCACCTCGGTGGACGAGTTGAGGCAGCAGGGGCATCGACAGGACATGATGCTTCGGCCCAACCTGGACGGGAAGGCGCTTCCACTCCAAGTGTCGATTCCGACCACCCTGTCGGCTGGAGCCGAGTTCAACATGGGTGGCGGCAACGTGCTCGATGACGGCGAAGGCCACAAGATCAGGGTGGGACACCCGCGGCTGTACGCGGACCTTATCGTCCTGGACCCTGACATGACCTCCGGCACTCCGGACTGGCTCTGGCTTTCCACTGGCGTCAAGGCGATGGACCACTGCATAGAGCGGCTGTATAGCCGGGGGAACCAGCCAGCCATAGACGCTCCGGTGTTGTCGGCGGCAGAGATGCTTTTCACCGCGCTGCCGCGTTCCCGGCAGTCGGATGGAGACAGCGAAGCGCGGCTGCAGTGCCTCATGGCCGCCTGGATGTCGATGATGGGGGCGCCCAATTTTGCCGTCGGCCTCTCTAACGCAATTGGGCACATAGTGGGGGTCAAGTATTTCGTGGGCCACGGCTAAACCTCGTGCGTCACCCAGCCGTACGTGATGGAATACAACCGGCCTGCATCTGCGGCCAAGCAGGCGCTGCTCGCCCGGGCCGCAGGCCATGACACCGCCGGCATGAGCGACGAGGCGGCGGCGGAACTGGCTGCAAGGACTGTGGACGGCTTTATACTTGGTTTGGGAAGCCGCAACCCAGCCTACGAGAGCTGAAATCCGAATAGACCGCAGGAGATCGCTGAGTTGGTGCTGACCGATCGCGGATGCCGACCCTCCCGTCCCGTAACCGAACGGAGCAGGTGATTGATTTTGCGCGCGCTTTCCCCCCCCCCCCAAAAAAACCCCCCCCCCCACCCCCCACCCCCCCCCCCCCCCCCCCCCCCCCCCCCCCCCCCCCCCCCCCCCCCCCCCCCCCCCCACCCCCCCCCCCCCCACCCCCCCAAAAAAAAAAAAAACACCCCCCCCCCCACCCCCCACCCCCCCCCCCCCCCCCCCCCCCCCCCCCCCCCCCCCCCCCAACCCCCCCCACCCCCCCCCACCCCCACCAAAAAGAGTTTCCTCCCTCCCCTTGAGGGAGAGGGTTAGGGTGAAGGTGAGGGAGAAGACGCACAGGCAAGCATTCTTACGATTGAGTCAGGAGCGATGAAAATGAAGTACGGGTTTACGCTGCCAGGCCGGGGCCCGCTGGCCACGCCTGAAACGCTGGGCCGAATCGCACGGGCGGGCGAGGAACTGGGCTACGATGCAGTGTTCACCGGCGACCACATCCTGGTACCGAGGAATATAGCCTCACCGTATCCCTACACGGAGAGCGGCGAGTTCCCGGGCAGTCCGTCGGGAGAGTCGATGGAGCAGCTGACGCTGTTGGCTTTCCTGGCAGGGCAGACATCCCGGATTCGCCTTGTCACCAGCGTGATCATTGTTCCGCACCGCAACCCGCTGGTGGCGGCCAAGGCGCTGGCGACGCTGGACGTTCTGTCGGGCGGACGGTTGGTGGTAGGAGTGGGGGTTGGATGGATGCGCGAGGAGTTCGAGGCGCTCGGCCTTCCACCGTTTGAGGAGCGCGGCGCCGTCACCGACGAGTACATACGGGCATTCAAGGAACTGTGGACCAGCGACGATCCGCACTTCGAGGAAGTATGTCAGTTTTGACAACATCAGTTTCCTGCCGAAGCCGGTACAGAAGCCGCATCCACCCATCTGGGTTGGGGGTGAGAGTCGCCCTGCGCTGCGACGGACCGCGGAACTGGCCGACGGTTGGTACCCGCTGGGTTCCAATCCCACATTCCCGATGGGAACGCCGCAGCAACTGGCGGCTGGGCTGGAAAGGCTGGCAACTTACGCGCGCCGATTTGATCGAGACCATCGGAAATCGAGACCATCTACCGGACGCACCAGTTCGACCTGACCGACTCGGCGGCTGGAGAGGACCGGCTTTCTTTCGTAGGAAACGCTGAGCAGGTCGCCGGGGATATCAGGCAGTACCAGGAGATGGGGGTCGGCTCGATGGTGCTGGACTTCCTGCGCCAGACAGAAGACCTGGATGTGATGCTGGGACGGATGGAGCGGTTCGCCAACGACGTGTGGCCTCTCGTGTAGGTAACTTTTAAAGTGCTTCAGAGGCCGCAGGGACGCACAATCGTGCGCCCCTGCATTTTCCGAGGTGCAAGAATCCAACTGAGCGGGCAAGAGGTTAGCAGAAGTCGCGTTCGTACAACTCCCGCATGTGCTGAAGGCGAGCTTCGGGAATGGGCGGCTGGTCAGCGCAGTGGGCGGTTTCCTCGGCCTCAGCGGCGTTCTTGACGCCTGGAACGGTGGTATCGATGTCCCTGTTCATAACGCTGAATACCATGGCGGCCTGGGACAGCGTTTCGATGGGACCTTCCAGGAGGAAGTCCAGCAACGCGGCCTTGCGCAGGTCGGCTTCCATAAGGGCGTCGCCTGGCGCGGGGGGCCTATCGAGTGCGGGCGTCAGGGCTCCGGCAGCGTGTGAGCGGATGCCGATGATTCCCATTCCCTGGCTCCTGGCCAAGGGGATGATCTGACCGTTGTCGAACACCTCCGCTCCCGGGGGCTTCGGCAGCTGTGCGGTGGTGTTGAGCAAGTTGTAGTAGGCAAGGACGGTATCGTACTCACCGCTGTTGATCAAACGGTGCATGGTGGGCACGTGGTGATCCATGGCGGAGAGGCCGATGAAGCGGGTCTTGCCTGCCGCCTGCATCTCCTTGTAGGCGTCAAGCACCGGGCCGAGTACATCGTCGCCTGACAGGGAATGGAGCACCTCGCCGCGTCGCTCGGTGAAACGGTTGTGGACGTGGAGCACATCGACGGAGTCGCGACGCAACCGGGAGAGGCTGGCGTCCACAGAGCGGCGGACGGCTCCGGAGACATCGTCCATCTCGTCGGCGCGCAGCCGGACCTTGGTTGCAACGAAGACCTCCTCGGAACGGCCCACCAGCGCCCTGCCGAGGGCTTCCTCAGCCGTGCCGTCCCCGTAGGCGGGAGCGACGTCGAAGAAGGTGATGCCCAGTTCCAGGGCGCGATGAACCGAGTGGATCGCCGCCTCTTCTGTGGTAGGCCCCCAGACCTGCCCGATGCCCCCGCCGCCGAAGCCCGCGCGCGAAACACGCAGTCCGGTTCGTCCCAGAGTACTGTATTCCATGACCAAACAACCCCCTCGGCAAATTGGCCGCTAGTGCGACACTTCGCCCTCGGCCAACTGGAAGAGGATGCCGTGCGAGCTGGCGGTGTCGATGTTCAGGTTGCGGTAGCCGAAGGGGCTTGCCGATGGTGCGTCGCCGCGCATTTCGTTGCCCTTGGCCTTGAGGTCGGCGAATACGTCGTCGATCCCGTCGACTCCCCAGGCCACGTGCATGACTCCGGGCCCGGTGGCCTGAAGCTGGCGGGCCATGGGCGTGTCTTCTCGCAGGGGCTCGAAGAAGTCCACGTAGGTCTCGCCGATTCGGTAGAGGATGGACTTGAAGCCGCGGTCTTCGAACTCGTCGCGGGACATGGGAGCAAGGGAGAAGTTCCGTTCGATGTAGCCGGCCATGTCGTCAATGCTTTCGACGACGAAGGTGATGTGGTGCACTTTATTCAACATAGGGCTTCCTCCGTAGCAGATAAGTTATCGCCTCCTGTGATGGCGACGGGTACTGCGGGCTGCTAGACTTGCCGCAAGCCTATTGGTTTTTGCGGATGCGCACAAGTCCCGTGTTCCGTGCCTCTCTCCGCCGGATCTGGTTCGCGAGGGAACATCCATGCCTACATTCACTACTGACGACGCAGTGAGTATCTACTATGAAGTTGCGGGCACCGGTTTCCCCCCCCTCTTTGCCCACGAGTTCGCCGGGGACATATCGAGTTGGGAGCCGCAGGTCAACTTTTTTGCCCGGCGTTACCGGGTCATCACCTATTGCCACCGGGGCTATCCGCCATCCGGCGTGCCTGAAGACCCGGAAGCCTATTCCCAGGACCGCTTGGTGGCCGATGCAAAGGCCCTGCTGGATCATCTGGGGATCGGCCAGGCCTACATCTCGGGGCTTTCCATGGGAGCTGCCACCGCACTGAGCTTCGCCATCGCTCACCCGGAAATGACTCGAGCCCTGGTAGTAGCTTCAACCGGCACGGGCTCAACCGATCGCGAACTTCACCTCGAGGCCTGGCACCGGAATGTCGAAAGGCTGAAGTCAGAGGGAATCTCCGAATTCGCCGATGAATATGCGAACAGCCCGACGCGCGTTCAGTTCCGGCGCAAAGATCCGGTGGGGTGGGAGAAGTTCCGGGCCGGGCTGGCGGCACACTCAGCCCTGGGCTCCGCGCTCATCACCCAGGGCATTCAGTTGCGTCGTCCGACGGTCTTTCAGCTGGAAGAGGAAATGCGCCAACTGCCTGTTCCGGCGCTTCTCATGGTGGGGGACGAGGACGAGCCGTGCATCGAGCCGATGCTGTTCATGAAGCAGTGCATTCCCGGCAGCGGGTTGTTAAATGTTTCCGCAAAGCGGCCATACGATCAATCTGGAAGAGCCGGCGCTTTTCAACGGCGCCGTCCTGGACTTCCTGACTGCGGTGGAATCCGGAAGCTGGGCGTCCCGAGGGTAGCGAGGCGGGCTATTCCTGCAATGCTTCGATGATTTTCCTCAGCTGAGTTTCGTCGTCGGCGCCGGACACGTCCATACCAAAGACCACTTCGTTCAGCAGGCCGTCGTAGCGTTCTTTGACTGCGGCTGCGACCTCGTCGTATTCCACTGCCACCGCGAAGCTGTCGAAGATGTCGTCGGTTATCAGTCCCGTCATGTCCTCCCACTGGCCCTTCAGCGACATTTCATGCAGCCTGACGCAAACGTCCTGGTATCCGTGGACTTCGAGCACCGGCATGTATGTTCGCGTCGAGGAATAGAAGGCGATCTGCCGCCGAACGGCGTACTTTCGTTCCTCGATGGCTGCCTTGTTGGGTCCGGTGATGATGAAGCCCGAGCCAGTCAGGTTGACGGCCGCGGCATCTCGTCCGCTCCGTCCGGCGCCGTCTGCGACGCTGGGCAGGATGCGCTGCTTCAGGTACTCCGGTGAGCACAGCGGGTGGAGGGACAGGCCGTCGCATACTTCGCCTGCCACCCGGCAGTTGTAGGTATTGACTGCACTTATGAATACCGGCGGGCTAGGCTGTTCGGACGGACCGGGGCTGAAGAACGGAGTCATCAGGGAAAAGTTGTAGTGTTCCCCGTGGTAAGCCAGCCGTGTCCCGTTCTGCCAGGAATTCCAGATGGCGTGAAGGGACTGCACATATTCCCGAATTCTCGGCCCGGGAGCTGCCCACTGGGCCGAGAACCGGCGCTCGATGTGCCCTTTGACCTGTGTCCCCAGCCCGAGGCGAAACCGCCCGTCGGAGAGATTCTGCAAGTCCATGGCGGCATAAGCGAAGACCATGGGAGAGCGGGGGAAGGCAATGGCGACCCGTGGCTCCAGCGTGACCCTTGAGGTGGTGGTCGCTGCCAGGGCCAGGGGCAACAGTGGGTCGTGCCCCGTTTCCTCGGTGCACAAGCCGTCATAGCCCATGCCTTCGGCCCAGCGCGCCTCCTCGGGAATGCCCTTGATGTTGCTGGTATTCAAGTGATGAAGCACCCGGAATCCCATCGCTTCCTCCATTTGCTGCCTCTTCCAAGCCTTCTAGGCCGGGGAAACCCATTTCCCCGACGCAGGAGAAGAGGACTATTGTTATTGGTCTAGGTCCGGAAGACTATCGGGCCGTGAATCCGCCGTCCACGACCAGTTCAGTGCCTGTGATGTAGGAGGCTTCGTCGGAAGCCAGGAACAGCACGGCGTTGGCGACCTCGATGGTGCGGCCTTCCCTCTGCATGGGAACGTCGTTGATCAGCCTCTCCCTTCGAGTGTCGCCCCGCTGAAAAGATGTCAGCATCGGAGGCATCATGCCGGGGTGTACAGAGTTGATGCGGATACCGTCCTTGGCGTGCTGAACGGCGGTTGCCTTGGTCAACAGCCGTACGGCGCCCTTGGAAGCGTTGTAGCCCGGGTGCACGGACTCCTGGCCCACTATGCCGGAGATGGATGAGATGTTGACGATGGAGCCGCCTCCCGCCTTCTGCATCTCTGTCACGGCGTGCTTGGTGCCCAGGAACACTCCGCGTGCGTTGATATCCAGCAGCCGGTCCCAGGCATCGGTGCTGCGGAAGTCGGTCTCCCCGCTGCCGCTGATGCCGGCATTGTTGACCAGCACGTCCAGCTTGCCAAACCGTCCGACCACCTCTCCTACTGCGGCTATCCAGGAGTCTTCGTCCGACACGTTCAGGTTGACGAACATGGCCTCGCCGCCAGCTTCGGCAATCTCGGCCTCAACCCTACGGCCGTCCTCTTCACGAATGTCTGCGATCGCTACCCTTGCGCCTTCGCGGGCGAACAACCTGCATTCATCGGCGCCCATGCCGTTGGCGCCTCCGGTAACCATCGCCACTTTACCTTCCAGCCTCATAATTGATTCATGACCTCCCCTTTTGTCTTCATGTTGGCCCGGGCATAGTTCCCGCTAGGATACTCCAATCGGGGCCCGTTCGCAGTATGCCTGTATTCCCGCGGGGTATAATCCGCTCAAGCTGGCCATTGCCGGCCGAAGCGGATTATCGTCATTTGCCCTTTGGTGGTGTCCAGGCATTTTCTCTGACTGGTTGGCCTGGCATGAGAGGAATTCGGAGGGCAGGGTATCGCCTATGCCAATTGACTCCATGGAGGACTGTCATGAGACTGGAAAGCAAAGTGGCGCTTATCAGTGGTGGCGCCAGGGGTCAGGGTGCTGCGGAAGCGCGGCTCTTCGCCAGAGAGGGGGCGGCAGTGGTCATCGGAGATATCCGGGACGAAGACGGATTGAAGCTGGAAGCGGAGATCCGCGAGCTGGGCGGTCAGGCGACCTGTGTCCACCTGGATGTAACAGAGCAAGACCAATGGCAAAGCGCCGTCTCACAAGCGGTTGACCAGTACGGCAAGTTGGACATCCTTGTCAACAACGCAGGCATCACCGGGATGGAGGGTGGCGGCCTGACCAGCACAAAGATAGACGGAACTGATGCGGAGCTATGGGACCGGATCATGGCAGTGAACAGCAAGGGGGTCTTCCTGGGGACCCGCACTGCCATTCCTGCCATGCGGGCGGCCGGAGGAGGATCCATTATCAACATTTCTTCCATTGCGGGTATAGTGGCAATCGCCCCCGGCAACGGCCGTGCCGCTGCCTATGCCGCTTCAAAGGGTTCAGTGAGGTTGCTTACAAAGTCGACAGCGGTGCAGTACGGAACGGAGGGAATTCGGTGCAACTCGGTGCATCCGGGGTTCATCGAAACGCCAATGACCGAACCCTTCCTGTCGCAGCCCGGCGGCCGTGAGTGGGAATTACTCAAGGCGCATTGAATCGTATCGGCACGGTGGACGACATAGCCAACGGAGTGCTCTTCCTGGCTTCGGATGAGTCGTCATTTATGACTGGCAGCGAGCTGGTGATAGACGGAGGTTGGACAGCCAAGTAGTAAACCAATAGTTGTGAAGTAGAGGTCTTGAATGCGACTGGAAGGGAAAGTGGCGCTAATCAGTGGAGGTGCAAGGGGGCAGGGATCTGCTGAAGCCCGGCTGTTCGCCCGTGAGGGCGCGGCCGTGGTAATAGGTGACATCCTGGACGAAGAGGGCCTGAAGCTGGAGGCGGAAATTCGCGAGCTGGGCGGACTGGCGACCTATGTCCACCTGGATGTTACTGAGCCGGGCCAGTGGGAGAGTGCCGTGTCTCGCGCAGTAGGCGAGTACGGGAAGCTGGACATTCTGGTCAACAATGCCGGAATTGGCAGCGTGTCGACGGGGGGGGCTGGACGCCCCGAAAATCGATGGCACCTCGACGGATGTCTGGGACCGGATCATGGATGTGAACAGCAAGGGGGTGTTCCTCGGTACCAAGGCTGCCGTTCCTGCGATGCGAGCGGCGGGCGGTGGCTCCATCGTGAATATCTCCTCCATCGCCGCTTTGGTTGGCCTCTCCCCCGCGAGCGGCGCAGCAGCGGCATACGCTGCGTCCAAGGGTTCGGTACGGCTGCTCACCAAGTCGACCGCCGTGCAATATGGACGGGAAGGCATCAGGTGCAACTCCGTACATCCGGGTTTCATAGAGACGGCCATGACTGAACTGAGACTTTCGGTGCCAGGAGCCCGCGAACAGGCAATAGCCGAGACGCCGATTCGCCGGATTGGAACGGTGGACGACATTGCCAACGGGGTGCTATTTCTCGCATCCGACGAGTCGTCGTTCATGACGGGAAGCGAGCTGGTTCTGGACGGTGGTTGGACAGCCCAATAATCTCACACAAATTTTCACAAAAAAAGGGTAGCCAATCAGGTGCACTGTGCTAGACTGTGCGCCGTCCACTGAACAGGTTGGGGCGGACGAGGACAGTCCGCCCCAATGTTTCCCCCGCTTTCAGGAGCTCACCCTATGGAAACCAAAAAGGTAACAGTTGTCTTGTTTCCTGACGAAGATGGCGGATATACCGCTGTGATGCCTTATTTTTCCTGTCATCTGATGGAACACGGAGGTTGCTTAACGGCACAGGGATGGTCTCCCGAAGAGGCTTTGTCCGGAGCTCGCATTCTTGTCGAAAGGTACCTGTCGGAAGCAGGGGTAGATGGCCACTATCACTTGGAGCATGCGTGGCTTGATAGCGTTGAGGTCAGGGACCTGGAGGTGGAGGTGTAGAGGGACAGGGCAACCCTTTTCGTCCCTGACCGGCAGCAGCTTGCAAAAGAAAAAGCCGGACCTTGGAGGTCCGGCTTCTTCTTTTGCCTTAACCGCTGAACAGTGGAAGGGAGGGTTGGTGTGTTCAAGAGTGGTTAACAGGTCCCCGGCAATGCCGGGGGAACGATGGATTTTCTCAGGGAACCCCTCCATCAGCTTGGGAGCGCTATTGCACTCAATCACAGGACCTTCGGGCATTTAGCCTTCGAGCCACTGGCTTTCTGGAGAGGAACACCCACCGATCGACCTGGGAGTTGGCCCCGACTCCACCCCGAGAACTCGGGGTAACAGCCAGAACCGTTTTCTCCTTAAAGGAGGT